GCGGGGCGCCCACATCCGCCCACCCCAGGGCAGCGACAGGCCCGAGGGAGGGAGTTGGAGGCCCGCGGGCCGCCAGTGCGCGGGCCCCAAGTCTCATCGCCCCGCTAGCCCAGGAGGACGAGCAGGGGAAACCGTAGAGAGGGACGGCGCTGCGGCCCGGGGAGGGGGCGGTGCTCGGGGACGAAGGTTTGGAAGCGCCAGGGCGCAGGCCAGGACCCACTGAATTGGGGTCAGACATGTGGGGCTGGACATCAGCGCCCCCATCCCGTGGAGTGGAGCAGGGCCCTACCCTGTCCCCGCGGGGGACAGCTGGGGGAGGCGCCCCCCTGGAGGGAGAGTCCCCGGCAGAGAGGTTGGGCTGACCACCGCCCACCCCCAACCCCTTGCTCACCCATGGGGTGGAGAGACACCTGTGCCCAAGTGTGCTGTTAAGATGCTTGCAGGGGTGAGGGAAGGTGAGGGACCGCAGACCATGCACTAAGGGGTGGGGGACAGGATGTGTGCCCCAGCCCCACAGGCCTGGGGTCTGTTGGTTGCTGGGGTGTGTGAGAGTCAACTGCCGATCTGGAGGCTAAGCTGGGCTCCCTGAGTTCAGTTTCTATGCTTTGGGGCCCAGGTGGAGCCCTTTGGGGCCTGCAAGCCACTGATAGGCCTCAACTCTTGCCTTCCTTCATCCCACTGGGTCTAGCCTCAACCACCACTGCTCCTCCTGTCCAGCATACCCTTTCCCTTGACATGGTCCGCTTTGCCTGGTGTCCACCCCTCTCCACACCCCTGTGCCAGATATGCTGGGGGCCCAGCATAGCCTGGCGGTTTCCAGGGTGAAAATGGGACACTGGCCTTCAGTGGGTGGCCCTGCCGGGGACTCAGCATCTTGGTTTGTCCGCCTCGTTCCTGGACCTGCACCTGGACCTGTGCGGACCTCCACGCTGGTGCCCAGTTCCCACACTGTGGTAGCCCACTCCTCCCCAACAGGACCAGGCCCTTGCTGTGGCAGGCTTCTCTCCTCGTCTCATGCCATCCTTCTCATGGGTACCCAGCTCCCCCCTGCCCCACCCCCCACCCCCTCCTTGCTGCTCTGCAAACCATCACCTCAGTGCCCCTAACGCTCTGTCTTCTGTCCCCTGCCCAACCCAGTGTTAAGCTCTACCCTGCCCTATAAGGTTGCTGTGTTAGGACCCTGGTCACTGCAGTCGCTCCTGAGGGTAACTGAGGCACAGAGCAGCACCCCTATAAAGTCCCCGGAAGAACCCATCTTGGAACCAGCCCCCGGACCTCTGAGAGGCCTCCTTTGTCTTTAATCCCTTGATGTTCCTTGCTGGCTGGCTGGCTGGGCCAGGCTCAAGGGCAGACTCAGAATGACCTTTGGGTGTTAGTAGACTGGCCAGAGCCGGGTTCTCCAGAGGCTTCGATGCCCCTCAGCATGAGCCTGCATGGAGGAGGTGACACGCTGACCGCTAGGTCCTTCAGCTGGGCTCCCAAGGTTGGAAAGTTTGCGTTCCAGGTCTTGTGTTGACCCTTCCAAGACGCTCAGCGGGCCACTCCCCTTAGACACTGCTGCTTCGTGTCCCCATCCATAAAATGAGGTGGGGGGCGGATCCCAAGCACACACTGTCTGGAGTATTTATGAGGAGAGGTGATGATTATAAAAAGATAACTCTATGGAGTGTGGGCACTCTTGTGCAACACCCCCCCCTTACACACCCATTCACATACACACACGGCCGTTCACATACACATAGACACACTTCCCTCAGGAACACCTCAGTTTTGTGGTTTGGGGCCATGAGTTAGAACGTCCCCTCGATCCTAGGGAGAGCCCTGAGGAGTGAAAAGTCATGTGTGCTGGGGAGAGGAGGCCTTGTAGATGTCACCTTGCTGTCGCAGAACCTGGAAGGCAGCGACCTGTGTGACCTCTTTTACCTTCTTTCTCCCGCCTTTTATTACAAGCCAGCGTTTTTGAAGGCAGCAGAGGAGGAGTGAATGTGAGCGCCCGGGACACCCAAGCAAGGGAATGGCCAGGGCCATTTTGAGCCTGGGGGAAAGGAGGCCGTGAGGGGAGGCCTGGGCAAGGTCCCTGAGCCAGGTCAGGGGAAGAAACTGCCCCGAAAAGGAGCACTGAGGGACCAAGGGAATGAGAAGGTCTGGTTCCAGGCCTGGCCAGTTGTCAGACTTGGGGTTCAGGGTTCCAGTGGGGTATTGCTGATGGAGGACTAGAGCCAGACTTGGGGGGGGGGTAGGGGAGGGAGCATCTCCCCACCCCCAGGCTCCTGGGACTCTGTGTTTGTGTATATTGGATTTGTTCACTAGATGGGGCACTTCCTCAGGGGCAGGAAACTTTGATTTCCTGTGGTGGGGAGCGGGGATTGGTAGGGATTAGGAGTCAGGGGCTCAGCTCTGGGCCATTCCTGATGGTGCTGCTTGGAAGGAGCCCTGGCAGCGGTCCTGCATCCAGCTGCCCTCTGTAACCGAGTGGAGGCCCAAAGGGGAGCGCTGGTGAGAGGCTCAGCTGGAGACTGGGGGAAGAAGGCATGAGGGCAGTGGGCTTGGGGGCAGGAGGGGGGCAAGCCAGCAGGAAGCCTGGTCAGCAGGTGACCCTGCCGGGTATTGTTTCCCTGTAATATTTTCCCTGTTTCTGTGGTAACCTTCCCTGGAGGACCCAGGCCTTCAGGCTGCAGGAAGGTGCCCCCAGACAGCTCTTTCCTTTCCTTAGAGGCCTGGGTATTAGAGGAGGTGACCCCCAATCTTGCCACCACCTTTAACCCTTTGGGAGTCTTAGGACCAAGGCCTGGGGATCTCAGACAGTGGGCCCAGCAAGCACTGACCTAGGGCCCTTCTCTTGGCAGGGGTGAGGAGAAGGTTCTGGGGAGTGCTCCATGCAGTTCTCTAGGCTTAGTCTGCCTTCTCTTTTCCCTTTCATGGTCTCCACTGCCCTCCCCCACCACCCCACGCCATTCCCCCCACACCATTCCTCCCACAGAGGAGGTGGGCTGTGAGCTGCCCAGGGCAAGGGGTGGGGACGGCTGAGGTCCCAGGGGTATTTCTATCAGCCTTGGGTTCTGGACTGGATCCCAGAGGCAAAATACATTTAGTGGAGGAGCCCTGGTGGCTCTGTGGGTTAGGCATTGGGCTTCCAAGGCTGAAAGTTCAAATCTGTTCCCATCAGCCAGCCTCTCCGAGGGAGGAAGGTGAGGCGGCTTTGTGTCCCTGTAATGATTCACAGACAGCCTTGGGAACCTGACACGGCCGCCCTTCTCGGTCCTGTAGGGCCGAGAGGAGTGGAGATGGACCGAGGGCAGCAGGTGTGTTTGGTGGTGGTGTGGGTTTCCTGTTTGGTGTGGTTATCTAGGTGGCCGGGTGTGTGAGCACTGGCTGTGTGGTGGATGAGTGTGTGTGTTTCTGACCATTTATGATGCCCGTGGTCCCCAGCTTGTGCTGGGTGTTTTAGGCATCTGTACCCAGCGAGCATAGATGTGTGTGACGTGTGCTGTGCACTTTCGAACCTCACTGCCCTGTTTCGGTGACCGACGAAGATGGCACCATGCCTACCTGCGCAGGGGTTGCTTTGAATAGAAATCCACTGGTGGGTTGGAAAGCACCCGCTCCTCGGCCCTCAAATGCCAGTCCCTGGGCCATTTGCTCCCAGGTTGCCTGGGTAGTATGTTAGAACCAAAGACCCTCTCGGTCCAGCTCCATGGGCAGCAGTCAGAAGCTGCAGGGTGGGCTATGGGCCTCTGGATCTCAGCATGTGCCTTTAGAAGACCCTGGTGTGCCCCCTGTTTCGGGAGCCCCGGTCTAGGGCAGCTTCTTCGCCCTCTCTCTTGAGGAAACACACCGATAGAAGGTCTTGCCCAAGGTCACAGGGATCTGAAGAAACGGAGAACTAAGACAAAACCCAAGAAGCCTTTCAAGCCCTTCCCAGGGCTTCCCACTCAGGCAGGCATCCCGTGTGTGTGCATGTGCACGCATGTCCACCCTCCGCATGATGAAATGCACAGATGGGCTGCTGCGGAGGCTGATCGGGGCCTGCCCTTTCCCCCGGGTCCCAACCTTCCTGACCTCGCTCTTCCTGTGACACCCCGCTTCCTGCACTCCGAGGAAAAGCCCGGGCCTGTAGAGCAGCAACCCTCAAAGTGCTGTTGGCAACCAGGGGGCCCCATGCGCTAAGCCCAGCCCTGTGCCCAGGTGATCCATCTACTGGAGACTCAAGTCTGAGCCATTGCTGT